CCCCCGCCGATGGCTCGGAGGCGCCACCATTTTCGGCGGAGATGTTGAGGGACTCGGCGGATTTTGTGACGTCCTCCATGGTAGGCTGCTGGTTGTGTTTGTCGAAGATGATGTTGTTGAGTTGTTCAATTTTGTTCAAGTGAGACTCACGCTCGCTCGCTCACCCAGTTTGTCGAATTGGAGTTTGTCGTGGGTGAATGTCGAAAATGACGTAAAGCTTCAAAATAACTCAAAGTCGTGACTAGCAGTGCTCAAACAATGCACAAAGTCGTGTATATAGCTTCACGGATGCCTCAAGCTCTCGATCTAAAGAAATACCAAAAACTCTAAATGAAATTTGATTAAGTGGCACCCTCCAAGTGCTCAGTGACATTCTTCGGGCTTCTTTCTGGACTTCTGCTCCGGGAAACTTTTAAGTGGGGCCCAGTGGAAACATTTTTCCCGCATGCGGGGCCGGCTCCGGTGGTGTGGGGCAAAACGGCCCGGAGCTTGCGGGGGCAGGGCAGCAGATCGGGGCCGGTACACGTACATAAAAAGTAGCAATGATAGGATAGGTTCCATTTTGTGCTGCTGCTGTAGTTGATGAGCTACGAAAAAAAAAAAAAAAGGAGAAGAAGAACCACGCAAGAAGGCGGAGTGAAAGAAACAAAAAGATTTCGTATGGATGGCACCGCAAAATGCGAAAAAAAATATTTTAACTTTGATCCGACTGAGGCTCGATCTCAGGACCTTCAGTGTGTTAGACTGACGTGATAACCAACTACACCATCGGACCGTGTTATTGTTAAGGAAAATATCAGCTGCATATGCTTATGAGGGTAAAGTTACATTTTCACTGTTCGAGTTCTTCTTTCCGTAATGCCTTCTCACTCCAAGCTTTTATGGTGATCAGGACAGGTGAAAAATGTCCACAGACATGTTTTGTTTCGAGATTTCCATCTTCTCTCTTGACCAGGTTTCTCGTATGTCTAAAGTTAATAGCATGTTCGTCTCAGAAAGTGCACTGTATCCCGCAGCTAAAACGTTCCAGTGTGAGTTGTTGTGAGGGACGGGTGATGGCAACCATGAGTGAATGCTAAACAATTTGTTTTTCGGGTTTTCCATAGCTGCTTGGGTGATACCTAACTGTTACCAGGCAAGTCAGATAGGCCCTAAATGCATCAAGATAATTTGAGAGCCTAGCGTTTCTCCTCCCAAATTCAACGGACCCTGAAGCCTTAAACATGCCACAAGTTGTAACGAAGAAGGAAAGGGTCAAACCAGCCACAAACGTGCTGATGGCCCTGTGTGTATCCGTGATAACGTGCTTAGCGAATCCGTCTATGTCTTCAGTTGACCCATCTGAACTGATCAGCGACTGCCAACCTACCTGTGATGGCGTCTATCCAAGGTGAAAGAAGAGCACCACAGAACATACTGAGCTCAACCTGTATCATTTTTGGGTTCATGCAACTTCACATTGCGAAGTTTGCACCCCCACGACACCCTGACGCCCAGACTATCCTCTTCCTCAAAATAAGTTCCTATTCACGAAGGGATAGTGGTATCACCATTCACCCTATCTTCCGGAGAAATGATCCATCCGTCAGGAGAGGGAGGGAGGGAGGGAGGGAGAGAGAGAGAGATCCCACCATGAGACAACAAGAACATCCACGAGTGATGACCAGTTCACCTTGTTTGCGCCGTACAGTCTTCCTTCTTCGACGCAACACCCGTTTCCGACGCATCCCGTCCTGGTGAGCTGGCGACTGGTTTCTTGGTTCTTTTCTTCTTTTGTGTCAATGTCCCCAAGCGATCAGTGTATGATCAGTGAGCTGTCGTTGTCGCCCAACAAGTCACGTCGATGAGGACAGTTGTGTTTCTGTGATGGTGACCAGGTATTCAGGAGACGATGATCGGTCCGTCCAATCTGTTTGTCTCAAGCATTGACGCCTTCGTCATGATCAGTTTCGCTGTGCGTTGTTTCAAAGAGCCTAGGGCTCTGAAGGTAAGCTGAAGGGATTGAAATCGGCCAGAGATAAGGTAGCTCTTCAAGTTGACTTTGAAAACGATGATATAGAAATGAATGGAAAAGAACATCGTTCAATGCCGGGTATGCTACCCTCATTAGGTCTCGCTTGAAGACATATATTTTCTCCTTATGTAGAGTATGGTCTCACCAGAAAGGGAAGGAGGTACTTCTTGGCTGAGCTTGCTGATGTCGTAACGACCACTGTTGTTTGCCTGCTCGGGATGGCAGGTGTGGTAGTGGTACTTGTTTCCTCCCCAGCGGGCCGAAGCCCTAGCTCGGAGAACAGTTGCTTCCGGCTTCTTGCATAGAAAACCCCCAAAACCATCTCTGATATGACGAGGTACGTCAGTATCCGTGTCTGCCACAGGGCTGCATGCATATGTGATATCTCGGTAATAGTTCGCCCGGCCGTTCCATCCTTGTGAAGAGGCGCCAGAGGGAGGGAGATAGGGGCGCAACCCGCAACGGGCATTCCGACGGTTGATACCCTGGCTCAATCTTTTCTGCTGTGAGAGGCGGCAAAATTATTGACAGCACTTGTGTCATAGAATCTGGTGGCTGACATTTTGGGCTGGTAGACGCTTCTGATAAGGTGGTTAGCCGATTCAACGAGTGTAAATATGTAAAGATATCTTGATATTGAATGTTTGGCCAGGACAGGAGGCAAAAAGGGACGAAAATGTCGAAGAGGCAAAGACAAGTAGATCCCACCATGCCATAGCCTCTACCATAGGAGGCTGTAAGGGCATGATGTTTACGAAAACGGATCGGATCTCGTAGAATCACGGGGGAAAAAACTTGATAAAATCCAGTTCAAGGCATGTTTCACCGGGACAACTTTTCCACTCGCTTGATCTGCCACGTCCCAGATGAAAGGAATAGTGTCCAGAGATGCGTACGTTAGCGGCTGTTCGGGTACGTAGCGCTTTCTCACGATGGCATCAGGTTAGTGCCCTCATCCCGAAGCTATCGAGTCTTGATGCATATGTAGTAGGGTGAGACAAAGATGTGCTTGCATGAAGGCTGGATGGGAAGACCGGGTGGGTACGGGTCAACTTGAAGAAAGGTGCCGTGAGCCGGCGTTAACCTCCGGAGAAGAACGTCGTCAAAGGCTGGCTGATAACTGATGGCCGAAACCTTTTTGAGAATGTTCCGATAGAAATGATACGAAATCCAAATAGTTATACCTCACTTCCCGGCAACACACGAACTATACCCGCCATACTTGACGTAACCACTTGATGCCTCTTTCATACGACAATGCGATTGGAGTTCGCAGGAGGATGACTTGCGTGAAAAGGGTCGAAGATAGTGAATGAGTCATTACTCAATGTCAAACTGTAAGTCGATCACCTCATCGGCGGCTGGCAAACGTATGTAGTACTCTGGAAGAAGTTCTGCCGGTAGTAGTGAAATGTAGTAGTAGTAGAAGGCGGAATGGAACGAGTTTTCATCCATCCGTGGTTGCACTTTTATTCCTAGAACAAGGGTTAGGAAGAACAGAGAACAGGATATCAACGAGCTAACTCCGTGAACAGGCCCGGGCGGGTGTCCGGATATTTACAGAGTGACATCGCCCTGGAGGGTCCGGGTACATGCAAGCCGCATCAAGGTGCATTGCAGCAGCCAAACCAGACTCTGGAGGGCGGCAGCACTATAGTACTAGCCGTACCTGGTGATTACAACGAGTGAAATGATTGAAAAGGCCGAGTGTAACCATGCCAGACAAAAGGGGACTGCAGGTATGCAACATGATAAGCTTCTCGCTCTTTATTGAAGAGATTCTGATTGACAAGTCGCAGTGTATCGGATGAGTTGTCGTTTTATTGTCGTGTGAAATGATAGCGGTAAAAGGAGATCTGGCGATCTGATAGCGAAAGCATCAGATGTCAGGCTGGACTACATGAACGGACTCGGAGAGACAAATGAAACTGGGGCGTTGAAGTGAGCTTGAGATATGGTAGAATAGGTTGCTGGGTGAATTTGCTCGAATGAGACACAGTGCTGTCCCGGATCGTCATAATAAACCCGGGTAGTATGTTTCAAGTGAAGCTAAGGTAGACGACACGGGAGGGGCGAGAGCCTCAAAAGATGGGTTTCCGGTATCGGCCCACAAAATGCGCATATGATTATCATGTGCGTGTAACGGTCAGAGTGGCAGGATCTCCAGCACTTGCCATCCGTTGTTGCGTCTGGTCTCACCGCTAGACGGCTGTGAAGGGCTGGAACAATCTTCGGCGTTAGCACTTCCGCTATCCAGAAGCCGCACAGTCCATAGGTTTGAGCACGGTTGACGTAATAGACTCGAAGAGTGGTCGAAGGATGGACGGCATCAGCGGCTTGTTGGCGTTGTTGCTCTGTTGGAGGTTGAGACCGGACGGTCTGAACGGGGCGGCAGATAAGACTTTTTGTTGGCCATGTTGCAGCCGTCACCTCTTTGGCGCCTTTTTTATGCCGAAGCCCGAGAGAAGATGATAGGATCGGGAAAGACAAAGGAAACGGGAGACTGCTGTCGCTCATTCTGTCGAGGAAAGAAGACGAGCAAGGAAAAGGAAGACTGGCATTCGGAAAGAAAGGACGACGTTGAAGGTTATCTGGCCCCACCAATGCAGAAGATCTGGACCAATCAAGTGGGCACCACAAACCCCACTTATGATTTCTTATAAGTGCTCACGGATATATGATTGGCTTGAGGTGCATTGCCACCCCTGCCCATCATGCGTGCCGGTCGCACTTGCATAATGCGTCCGAGCTCCTCCAATTCTCGAACAGCGAACGCAGAAGGAACGGAACACCCCGATGTGCCAATCCAAGCTCCCGTCATTTGCCCCAGCGCTGGCTGTGCCAGTGCCAGTGCCGGTGGCAGAATGTCAAAGTTTCGCGTGTCCTTTTCATCATCATCATCATGGGCTTCCTGGTACAGACGGACCGAGCTACCGACCACGCGAGTGATCAAGGTCTCTGAGACCCAGCGGTCAGGACTGCCAGCCTATCAAAGGATTTGAACAGTCTTGCGTTGCACTGGACTGGAGAAAAAGAAGCCAGACGGAACGGAATTTGTCGTTCGAGAGGATCTGACTCGGACAGAGTTACCCTCCCTGAGCTACCCTCCATGAGCTACCCTCCATGAGCATTGAGCGGCATAGCAATCAAAGACATTGTTGGCGCGAGCAGATGCGCCTCGATGTACCGCGATGCGCCGGGGAACCCTTCCAGCATTCTGTGGTTGTCGGTGGCTCAGCTTTAGAACCTCTTATCAGCCTGTTATCGGCCGGTTATCGAGCACGGCGTCCTCGTCACTTTGCGTCACTGCGTCTACATGACGCCGTCCTCCCGTTTTCCAGCATCGATGTGTTCTAAGGTGTCGGGTGTTGTTTCTTAGAGGAATTCGCGGCAACCGGCTCCTGTCACTTATCAAGAAACAAGGCTCGGAAGCACTAGGATGACAGGATGCCATTGGCACGGCCATGTATCGGGCAGACTCTCTCTCTGTACGGTACTGTCACGGTACGTCTCCCCTCTGTGGTGACAGGAACCATGTTGTTGGAATGCAGCCGGGGACGCGAACTCTGAGAACGGCCCCCGGCCCTGGAACCTTGCCCGGTTCTGGAAGCACTCGCAAGCGGATTGGCTAACAGAAGACTCCATCCTTTTCTATGGTTTCCGTATCTTTCCAGATTTTCCCATTCCCGCCTTCCATCTGATATCCATGCACAACGCATTGGCGTGCGCCGAAACCGTCCATTAAGTGAATGGATGCGGTTCGCGACTTCCTTGCGAGCCCGGCCGAGTCTATAATTTTTTTCTTTCCCTTCCCGTCAGTTCCTTATCACCTCGTGGTGCATTGCGGCACCCACTCATATTTCAACGTGTATGCGTTGTCTGGACGGGCCTAATATTTTCTCTACTGACCATAATCTCCTAATAAACCTGCTCTCACTCCCCTCTCGATCTCTCCCGTGTTCGGTTTCCAGTGTTTCTGCTTTCCACTTCACTCTTCCGTATCGTGCCAAACATATCACAGCACCTCGACAGCACCTTTGATAACCGGCCACTTCATTAACTTGCCCCGCCATCAATCTTCTCCCGCTTCCAACCTTTTCCAAGTTTTGTGGAAGCAAAATCATCTCCAACTTTGCTTCTTGCACCTGGCACTACTTCTTCCCTGAGGAGGTATTGGACAGTCGTAAGACCTCAGTCTTTCTGTAAAGCCATGAGCCTAACAAGTGAGACAAGCCACCGCGACCCGGACAAGTTCCCAGCCGTCCAGCTGTTCCTCCTTGGTAAGTTTTCCAAGTCCAAAGTCCGTTGACTGTACCGGTCTAGAAAGCTGACCTCAGATTTTCCTCAGCAATCGTCCGTCTCGCCGAACCGATCGCACTCACCTCCATCTTCCCCTATGCCTGGGCTTTCATCAAGAGACTACAAATTGGAAACGAAGATGACGCCTCATTCTACGCCGGCCTCCTTATCTCGTCCTTCGCCCTGGCCGAGGCCTCGATGGGCATGTACTGGGGAGGCCTGTCCGACAGAGTTGGTCGGAAACCCGTCTTACTTTTAGGATGTGTCGGCACCATGTTCAGCATGGTCATGGTTGGATTCGCGACCAACATCTGGATCGCTGTGCTTGGTCGTGCCATTGGCGGGCTTCTGAACGGCAATATCGGTGTTATTCAGACCATGGTTGGTGAGCTGGTCACAAAGCCAGAGCATGAGCGTATGTCTTGCCCCTTATATCCGAGTCTCCATGATCTTTGCTAACGGAACAATTATAGCCAAGGCCTATTCCATCAGTAAGTTGTTAATAGAAAATTATACCCGGCCTTGTTTTGTTTGTGGTGTTGCTGACATGTGAAACAGTGCCTTTTGTTTGGAGCATCGGCACCATCATTGGTCCCGCTATTGGCGGTACCTTTGCTGACCCCCACGAATCCTTCCCAAACATGTTCCCCAAGGGCTCCCTATTCGACCGATTCCCGTATCTATTGCCCAACCTTATCTGCGCCGGCATGCTTCTTATGAGCATCGTGCTTGGTTATTTTCTCCTCGAAGAGACACATCCCGATATGCAGCCCCGCGTTCTGCTTCCCGACGATACATTCCTCTCCGAGAACACACCCTTGATCGAGACCTCCGATGCGATGAAGCGCCCCGCTGTCGACCTTCGCGACGAGAACTACGGTACTATGCGGGCTCGAGATATTAAGAATACCAGCTCCGCGCCGAAGGCCATCGCGAAGCAACCGACTTACAACGTCTTTTCCAAGAAGATCATGGCAGTCATTGTCTCCCTTTCAATCTTCACCTATCACTCGATGACATTCGATCACCTTCTTCCGATTTTCTTCGAGGACGACAAGGTTCCTACCAGCCAGCCGTTCGGTATCTTCAAGGTTCTGAGTCCCTTCTACTCGCCTGGAGGCCTGGGTCTCTCCCTTCAGTCAGTCGGCATGATCATGGCTGTTCAGGGTGTCATTGCCCTTTTCATGCAAGCTGTCGTCTTCCCTGTGATGGCGGAGAAGGTCGGGGTCTACAGGCTTTTTGTCTTGATCACGATATTCCACCCTATCGTCTACTTTATCATGCCCTCGCTGCTCTTTGTTCCAGAGGGGCTCTTATACCCGGCCATTTACTTTTGTCTCGCGGTTCGCAACTTCTTTTCCATCCTCCTTTACCCTCTCCTCCTGATTCTTATCAAGGAGGCGACGCCCAGTTCTTCTGTTCTGGGCAAGGTGAACGGGCTCGCTGCCAGTGCAGGTGCAGCATGCCGCATGGTAGCCCCGCCAGTGGCCGGATATTTGTATTCGGTGGGAAGGAAGATGGACTGCACTGCCTTGGCCTGGTATGGAAGCACCTTTGTTGCCATCATCGGAGCCATCCAGTGCTTTCAGGTTAAGAGGGATAGGTCGAGGGATGCGGGGGGCGATGACGGTATGAGCCAGTACTCCGATAGTGACGGAGAGGCTACTCTTGTTGCGGAGGCCGCCTAATGGCAATGAGCTGGGGAATGGTAACGCGGTGCAGAATGGCAACAGGTGGAACATGATACCCATAACGGATGCCAGAAAGGCAAGGAAAGAGGGAAATAATGGTTAATCAACGATCACGGCTACATAAAAGGGGAGACGGCATGGCGTTTTAGGAATGGGTCATGGTGTGCTTCTAGCACCAGTCAGCGAGCGTGCACTGCTTTTTATTTCTTTTATTTTTTTAAACGGACATTACAAACCTGGAATAGGTTGAGAACTAATGGAACGTTCAACCAGGGCTGGAAATGGGTACGGATGTCGGTATACATGTTATAGATGGTTAGACAGGAACATAAAATGGATGCCTTGATTTCAGATGATACACCTTTATGAACCAGCTGCAATAACCGTGACAACTTCAAATCGGGCCTCATGATAGTGGATTCTTTGGTCGCACGTGCTGTAGATCATACAAAGTAGTGATAGCCAGCTCGTCACTGCTTTCATCGGGGTTTGATGCGTTGGGGTTTTCTTCGCCGAACTCAATCGAAGTGCACATGTCCAGCCTTATCATGATCACTTCCACCAGCAAGAAAAAAATGAAAATAAAAAAGAAACAAAAAGAAGAATAAAAATACAAGGAGGCATTTGCATCATTACAACTGAATTAAAAGCACAAAAAAATGCACCAAAAAGCTCAGTCGCCCAGTGAGACTTGGTTGGACCGAACCACCATGCTCCAGCTGCAGACCTACGAAAACTGTATCTCGGGATACCGCGTACCCGGCAATGTTTTCATCACACGGAACCGCTGGGCCATGTAGACCTAGCTAGTCAATTTAGGACCGTGCTGGTAGTCGGGGCTAGTGCCGGAACTTATATGGGGCCTAGAACTAGGGCGGTAGGATGGGATGGGATGTGATGGGATGGGCTGGGATGGGTTGGGATGAAATGGCCAGGGTGGGCTCGCGGAGGGAAGGGGGGAAGTTGAGACGGGAGTTGTAGGTTGGGTAGGTAGGTAATCAGGGCTTTCATGGTGATCGGTGCATAATGGACGGGACGGGAGAAAAACAAAGTCAGGGCCAGTAGGTAGGTGGTTGACTGAATGGATATGGCGACGGGACCGGAGTTGATCAAATTATGTAATGTGGAAGTTCAAGACCAGGGCAAGGAGGAGGTGGAAGGGAGGAAGCGAGGAAGGAAGGAACTACCCTGCTATCTACCTACCTACCTTGGTGACACCCTAGAGGTATGAAGCTGTCAAGGCAGGCGAGTGCTACCCAGGGCTCCAGTGCTGTATGAATACCGACGGGACCTCCAGCTTTACATAACGCGCTACTTACGGTAGAGGTAAGGTGGGTAGGTACCTAAGTAAACCAGATGGATCATATAGGCGGGCAGGTAAATGACTGTTATACCTTCCCTTTTCACCTTGTATTTGTGTTATGTAGACCCCCCGTGGCCGCCGCCGCCATCGCCGTCGTCATCTGAGCCGACCCTCAAGGTTCTCGTCTCCTATCACCTTGCCCCCTCACTTTTTGTCTACCTCTAGGTATGGGAGAGCCTGCTGCCTAAGGTAGAGGTGTCTCATAGGTATAAGTGGCGGTTGGATCCTGCCTCCTGCTGTGATTGTGTATTCGCGTTCGTTGTGGGGGGGGGGGGGGGGATTTTGGGTTAGCAGGCGTAGTTGCCTGTGGCCAAGCAAGGGAGACCAACCAAACAGAATAGATCTGATCGAAGCCGGTAAAGATGGGAGATCAAGTGACTTCCCATGTCCACTGTGGTTGTGGGCGGGGGGCGAAGTGATACACACCCGACTGTTTGATGAAGGATGAAGCTGTACCATAGAGGTAAGGTACGTGTCTACAGGAGCGGGGGAAGGGGGAAGATACTAATGAGTGGTCATCGGCGAGCACTACCTATGCTGTGTGGTCTGCTGGTTCAAGTCCTTAGTGTAGGATGATATCATTTACCTTGGATATCACAGCAAAGCAATTAAGCAACAAAGAAACAGAACCTACACCTACATACGAAGTTATTCAAAACAGGGATATCCCATACACCGGAACCACTGCCGGTGATCCCCGGTCTTTAATAGCCAAGTAGGTCAGGTACCTTACGGACACTGCACTCTCAATTGTCAATTTGCCGCACCTACACCCACTCACTACCTACATCAATCATCAAAAATAAAACAAATGAAAGCAAAGAAAAAAAAACAAGGCAGGCACGCATGCAAGCTCCGTCAAACACCTTCTTTCCACTAAGCCCTTATCCTTATCCAAGATTGTCAATTCACAGTAATACTTCCCTTCCTAGCTGTCCTTCGTAGTTGTCCCAATACCTTATCAAGCCCTATCAAGCCAAAAAATCCAGCCATCCCTCCCCTTTTACCACTCACTCACTCACTCACTCACTCACTCTAACATCCCTCCCGTTTTCATTTCTGGTTACCTGTACACATTTTCCAAACAATCTTCCCTTAGAACGACTTTGCCCTCCCAATAAGCAACAATCGTCTCCTCTTTCTTCTGTGATGTTCTTGTTCGTGCTCGTAGTCATCCTCGTCATCAGCGTCGGCATCACCATCATTGTTGTGACCAGCAGTAGCTTGGCCATTATTGCTCCTCTCATTTGGTGCAACCATGGATGATTCCCTCGTATTACAAGCTGAAGAAGAGTGGGGAGAGGCAATGGATGTGGAAGTTGGAGATCCCAGGTAATGACTACTGGGTGAGGGGGTGGGGCTGATGGCTCCATGTTATTATCAATAGTGGTGGTGGTAGTAACAGTACCAACAGTTGTAGTGTCTCCCCTGGGAGTAGTAGTGCCCACAGCCGACAGTGTAGGCGAAGGTTGCCCCGATGTAGGTGGGGGAGAGACGAATGATGAAAGAGAGGAGGAGGAGGGCAATGCTCGCATAGCGGCAGCAGCAGCAGCAGCAGCCTCCTTCTCCTCTTCTTGCTGTCTTAGATGCAAGAGTGTCAAAGCCGCTGTTTTGCGGGCCGCGAGGCTTGTTTGGCCTTCATCACGACCATGAGCATTGGAAGCGCGATTGATGTAGCTGTTGTTTGTGTCCTTTGCGTCATTGTGGTCTGCAAGGGAAGTTGATGAGGGAGTACCAGATAGCGGTTGTAGACGTGCATCGTTATCGTCACCACAATCCATGTTTGCCTCCACTGCTATCCGCCTTGGTTGTTGGCTACCTGGTATGTGCTCATGCTCGTGTTGGTGTAGGGCAGCTGGCCTTCTTTGGCTCTGACTCCAATCCGTACCTCTAGGTGGTGTTGCGGAGGGAGGAGTAAGTGCTCTTTGGTATCCGGCAGAGAACTGATAAACGCCGCCGCGAGTGCGCTGCTCTTCACTAGTATGGGCATGGGCAGTAGTCTCCTCATTCCCTACCACTCGGAAAGGCCGCCCATCAGGAAGCCTTCGCCGACCAGAAGGTGCTGGCAATGAACAGAGTTTTGAGATTGGGGGTAGTTGAGGTCGAGGACTTGTAAAGTTGGATGATGCAAGTGAGCTCAGTGAAGAAGATGGCGAGGGAAGTAGGGAAGAAGGAGATGGCAAACGCTGTGGGTGTTGTTGACTGGCCATGCTGCTGATGCTGCCGGCTCTACTCCTGTTGGCGCTACCTGGCTGAGAGGTCAATGGGGAAGAGGCTGCTGTTCTCTGGGGAGAGCGTGGAATGGCAGTGAGCCATGGGTTGGGGGCTTGGCTTTGGGGTGACCAATCCACAGAGAGCGCCGACTCATCAGGTTCATTCGAAGAAGGATGTGGTCGCTTAAGTGAATACCGATCGAGGGAGTTGCTAGGGGGCTGGTGGTTTACTGCTGTCCATGCTGAACGGTGTGGTGCCCTTTCAGGATACGAGTAAGAAGGGGGTGTCGAAGCAGGATGAGGTCCAGCGCTTGACCGCGGCTGATGTGATGTCCACTCGTTAGCTGGTGTCATCGGGGCCGACATACCATGCAGCTGCGGCCTAGTATCGAAAGAGTTCTCGTTGTAGAATTCTCTTCTAGAGCGTCCTACCCTTTGCTGTTGTTGTTGGCGGTCCCTGGGGTCTTGGTTGGGGTAGGGTTGGTAGTGATGACGTTCTTGAGGCCTAGAGGAGACTGTCCGAGGTGGACGTCTAGCAGGTGGCGATGAAGTGTAAGCGCCACCCCAGTTGCCATATCTCTGATACAGCTCCTGTGATTTCCTCATTGTATCGGTTATCAGCTCTGGCTTGATGATCATGATGCCGTATCGTGGCTCGCCAGGCGAGATACACTCCGATGGGAAGTCGGGGCCAAACAGGGGTATTAGTGCCCCAGCGATCTGGTAGCAGAAAGTTGCGCATACGGCTTTGGCACAAGAATATGGCATCCAGTACCCTATTACGACCGGTTAGTCATTGTCAAGTAGAGCGGTAGAGGAATGACTGTAAGTACCTTGTGCTTTGATAGCGCCTCCTGTGATGCTATACGCGATGTCTTTTAATCCCGGATTTTGGTTCAACATCTTTGCAGGTGTTGTCTACACAACGGGGTTAGAGCCTTGAAAGCACAAGTATGGAAGGAAGTTCGAACCTTGGAGTATCCGCAGCACTTGAAGAAATGGGTCATCCGAACAAGGCCTACTTTGTAATCCCACATGATAGTGAACTCAGTATTGTCTCCTGGCCGTTGGAAATTGTATTGGAAGACTGCGTAGACTAATGTTAGCTTCCATTTCGGTTGTTGTTGTCGACGACATCGAGGAAGACGGGCATCTTTACCATCTAGACACTCTCGGCCAGTCTTGCTTTGAAAATCTCTTTTCCCAGTATTGTACGGGATGTTTTCAGGTCTTTGTTGAATTTCCCCAAACGGCGCGATACAGTATCGGCGAATCTCTTGGAGTGCTGTCGCATCCAGGCCCTCTTCAAAAGGGGGAAAGTTGACATCGGGTAGTTCCTCCGTCCTGGGGGTGGTTCTCGAGGCTACCGGCCGAGAGAAACAAGTGTCGGAAGATGATGGAACCGGAGCCACACGAGGCTCAACCGGTGTCGGGTTGAGCAAAGAAGTTACTGAAATCATGAGGAATGATGTTCAGGTCGATGTAGCTATTCCAGCTGATGTGTTATAGCCAGCGATAACTGGAGTAGAGAGATGAGAGAAAAAGGAAGGATGAGGCGAGAAGATGGGATGGGGCTGAGGATGTTATAGCTCGGACGGCGCTTGATATACGGAGTCAGATGCGAAAAGGTCAAATTGCCTGTCAATACGCAAACAACAAAACGCTCACCAGACTCTCGCGAGCTGGCTGTGCCTGGGTGTCTTGTTGTACACGACAAGGAACCAAAGGCCCTCTTTTTTTTTTTTACCTTGACTTCCACCATGCAGCGGCCTGCAGCCCCGGCCGACGGCTTCCTTCTCTCCGTCTTGTTGCTCGACAGTCTCGGTGTAGTTCCTTTGTCTGGGGGTTCCCAGGAATCGACTTCAGAGGCAAGGATAGCGTTTGGTTCGTCCACCGCTCTTTTGGTGGTCGAGGTGAAGCCACAATATGATTACTGACAGGCGCAAGTTACGCTGAAACCACAGCTTGAACGACCGACAGAGGAACGCAAATCGCTGTGACGGGCCGGTAGCGGTAAAAATATCAGTGGCTCACTTGGGTAGCACTGCCAAAAGAAAGAATGATTCAACGTTACGTCTTTCGCCAGGCCTGGCTTCGGCTTTGGGACGTCCGGAGGAACCAAACGACTCCGTCATAACCACCGTGGCCGACTATGTTGCGTTGTTGTGTGTAATGCCGTTACATACAAGGCAAAGAGGAAGACCCACGATCGCAGTCCAAGCGGCTCGACAAGGAGGAGAAAGGGGAATCGGCGAGCAGACGTAGTGTCATGTTTGAACGGATATCACCGAGCAAAGGACTGGCACTGGTCCCAAAGACAGGGAACGATCATACGCAGCGAGGTGAAGCAGCATGTCCGTGACCAAAGCAAAACATCAGGCGAGTTTGGCGGGCGCAAATACCGGTCAAAGATCAAGCCGGCAGGGTAATGGTTTGTTGAGTGCTTCTGCCACAAGGTAGGGTGCCGGATGGCTGCAGGATGTACCGCTGGACGACGAGCCCGGGCAAAGTAACTGGGTGAAGGTTGAACAAAGACTGACCGTCGTTCAGGCATATTCATCACAGCCCAAAATCCATCCTTGACTCGACACACGTGGCCCCTTGACCATGGTTCACCCGCTTATCAAGTAAATGAGATGAGCGAGGCGGCGTGGAGAGTTGCAACGAGGCTTGCTTTATGATTACAGTCGAATCAACAAGCCGTTTGCGAGAGACCGGTGTGGTCATTGCTTCCATATCACTAGCAAAGGGCATGCGGAGCGAGAGACTTGCGCGTCAGCATCAAGGAAGGCCCATCAACACTCTGGGTTTACATCATCACTCAGGCTTGGGCTTGGGCCTGGACCGACTGAGCAGGTTACTTGCTGCAGTGAGAGGCAAGCAGTGTGGTTTTTTCGACGGCGATTTTAGAACATCCGGAGCAACAAATGATACCCCTTGCTTCCACGAGCTCAAGCTCGATCCTTGCAAACTTGTACAAGCGAAAAAAGCCCGATTGGAAGGCCCTAAATACGGCTAGGGGTACGGGTTGATGAATCCTGGGGTCCGTGTTCTGTCCTCCAGATGAGGGAGAATGTGCTTGATATTGCGTAGCATCACGGCTAGCAAGCCAGAGCCAAGAAGGGGAAAGCTGCAGGAGCGAGAACTTTGGAGACGATGGACCGCACCGAACACTTGATGGGCAGGCAAAGCGAGGTTTCAAGTTGACCGGGGAGCGGATGGGCGACGGTATCTGTAGATAGCGAGAAACGCAGATTTGTGAAATCGACTGTTGGGTGCATTAACCGAAAGTGGGAGTGTGGTAGACAGCAACGGCGTCTACCAAGCCTTTGGCTGGGCTTGTGAGCCCGCAGAGGTGAGCACAACAGATTGTGGGATCCAGACAGCATTACTCGAGTCAAGGCTCGCTTCTCGCCAGGGCCCAGTGGATAGACAAAGATACCTTGTCCTGAGAACCTTGGCCTGCTTGAGATGGGTAGCTTCCGAGACGGGAGGTAGTGAAAGTACCAGCCATGATTGCTGCAACGGCCCGCCGGAGCGCTCCCCTCAAAGTTGACACTGGATGCCACTGCCGGTGATTTTGTGAGGACGTGGCTGATGCGTTCCCGCAAATAGAAACCGGGCAAAGCTGAAGATTGAAAGCAGCCCCTGAAGCCAAAGAACAATATGCTTCGGGAGGGAATTGTAGCCGCGCAAAGTTTCTCAAGACCACCCGCCAACCTGGACATGGGAATCGTGAGAGCTTCTTGACGAGATGCACCTTGTCTAGCATGACAGGACTCGTGCTTCGCAGCAATGGCTACACTGATGGCACCGAGCAAGCGACTCCCAAGCCAACTATAGCGATGATCCAATAACACGCCGCAAGCACCTATAATTCCAAATACCGAGGAGCACAGTCGAGATCTGTAGTTCAGAGAGGATGAGGACTGATCAAGAACTCCATCTTTGTGACAAAAGTCTTGTCAAAGGCTTCTGTTACCTCATGGCCATGCTCCGGTTTCAGATGAGCCTTGTGGAACAGCGTGGGATTTTGACAGGACGGAAGGGAAGGCAGAACATGAGGAGGTTTAGGGGAAGGAGGTCTCTAGAACCCTTCTGTCCAGGACTCTGAACATGTCGTGCATCGTGAGAAAGCTGATGTAGCCGTGTTCCGTTGCGGATCGACGCATTTGAGCCCGGACATTTTCCTGGCCATCCCGCCGTGCCGTCCTGTCTCCCGCTCGCCCTGTGTTGGGGGTTGTGATGGGGGTTGTGATGGCTCAGCTGACTACCCCGGTATACCTTACCTCTGACTGCCATGACTGCCATGACTGCCCTGAATGCCCTGAATTACGCTGAGAGCCCTGGCCAGGTGGTTCTTTTGTCTTGGCTTTGCATTTTTCCTCTGATAATGCCCGTCTCCGGGGGCTGGCCCCACGACATGGTAACACAACATGCTTCCGTGCAGTATCTTAAGCCACATATTCGTGCAAAAGAGCCCCACGCATGGGGGCGACGACAGCGGCAAGCAACACGGCAGGACCATGAGTGCCCTATGAGGGCGCAGGAAGCAAATGGGCATTATGCCATAACACTTGTCAGGCAGAGAAGGACTGGTGTAGAATTCGACAAGTGTCTTGCTCGACGGATGATGGACAGGCCACTCTACCACTGCAAGTCCTCCTTTTTCCACCTCGTGCTGCAGGGAGCCCATTGCATGGCCCTTATGCCAGGCACGACCTTGTAAGGAGCGACTGCTTCGAGGCTTCATTAATATCGAGGGCTTTGTGCGCCCCCAAAACAGACAAGCAGAACCCACCTCAAGAGTGCATGGTTAAAAAGTTGTGGCAGGCTATAGACAGGACTGACTGGGCTTTGTTCGTTGAAAAGTGATTTCTGATCATCTTTTCCGGGAATAGAGGGCAATCACAGAAGCGACCCCTAGACCCAGGAATCCATCATGGCCACACTCGGGCTCAGGGAAATACCAAAGACAGGCCAAGTGCTTCCAAGGGCTTGTATGTCAAGAATAGTATAGTAACGGAACTCAAAGATAACTATTACCCACTGCCTTGTGCAGACTAGGACAGAGTGAAGGGTCTCTCTATTCCGGGCGCCCAGGCCGGTGTCGTGGCAGCTTTTGAGTGTCTTGAGTGTACTGTAACGGGCCGTCAGTGACGACATGGGGAAGCCGGTGGGAAGAGGGAGATGGAAGAGAGAGCGGATCCATTGGTTCTAAAAAGGCAGATGAAGGCAGATTCGTAGCCCGTTTCTCTCACTTGCGCCTCTTGTGCTCTTCTGTGACGGAGGGACACAACCACTCGCCGCGTTGTTTGTGAGACCTTGGGCGGGCCGCCATCGAATGGGAGATGAAGAGAGAGAGTGAGAGATTGGACACGGACGTGTAAGAAGTGATGGGTAGGAAGAGACATGGATGAGCATGGATGATGCACCCGGGCGAGAGAGATGAAGAGCAACGGTAACCCAACTTGGGACGAGACGAGGTAACAGAGCCACAAGAACAGGTGCCCTGGATCCAAAGACGACGACGATGATCTGAAGGGAATCGGATCGTTTCAGTTGTTTGATTCGTCTGGTGAGAAGCAGGAGGTCGAGAGAGAACGACGATGATTTGCCGTCAAAAGATTAGAATGACAGACTCGAGTCTCGCATTTTTTGGTTGGGAGCACTTTTGTTTGACCGTCATTGTCGGAACACGTTTGAGAAATGGGCAGAAATTGACTTGGCCGATGGAAGCTTGTTGAGTGAAGCAAGTGTCCGAGACATTCATGGGTGTGCAACAAGAATTAAGACGTCGGTCGAGGCGACGAACGGTAATTATGGCTGGTGTAGAACTGAAGACATGTGTGGCTGGTATGGTTGCTGAGGTGGTGGCTGATGCTGCAGATTAAGACTCACTG